GTCTCCAAAGGCCTCCAGGAACCTCCAGGGGCGTCCAGGGAATTTCAAGGGGCCTCAAGGGGCTTCCAAGGGCCTCCAGGGACCTCCAGAGACCTCCAGGGGTCTCCAGGGACCTCCAGAGGCCTCAAAGGCCTTCCAGGGACATTCAGATGGCTTCCAGGAGCCTCCAGGGAACTCCAGAGGCCTCCAGGGACCTTCAAGGGCCCTTTAGGGACCTCCATGAGGCCTTTAAGGCCCTCCAAGGACCTCCAAAGGACTTCTAAGGTCCTCCAAGGACCTCCAAAGGCCTCCAGGGTCCTCAAGCGGCCTCAAAGAACCTCCAGGAACATCTAAGGGGACCTCCAGGGGTCTCCAGAGTCCTCCAACGATTTTCAGGGGGCCTCCAGGGGCCTCCAGGAACATTTAGGGGCCTCCAGGGACCTCCAGGAGCCTCCAAAGACCTAAAGGGGGCTGTAAGGAGCCTCCGTTGACATCCAAGTGGCCTCCATGGTTCTCCAAGGACATCCAGGGCGCCTCCAGTCACCTAAAGGGATCTCCAGGGCCCCCCAGGGACCTCCATGGGTCTCCAGGGACTTCCAGGGGCCTCAAGGGAAATCCAGAGACCTCCAGGGAACTTCAGGAAGCCTCCAGGGGCCTCCAGGAACATTTAAGGGTCTCCTGGGGGCCTCTAGGGACCTCCAGACCCCTCAAGGGGGGACTCCAGGGACCTCCAGGGGCCTCCAGGGACTTTCAGGGGCCTCAAGGGGCCTCCAAGGGCCTCTAAAAGGCCTCCAGGGACGTCCCAGAGGCCTCCAGAGACCTCCAGAGGCCTCGAGGGACCTCCAGGGATATCCAGGGGCCTCCAGAGATCTCCAAAGGGCCTCCAGAGATCTCCAGGGATATTCAGGGGGCCTCCAAGGACTTCCGTGAGCCTCTAGGGACCACCAGAGGCCTCACGTGATCTCCAGGGACATTCAGGTGGCCTCCAGGGACCTTCAAGGGCATCTAGGGGACCTTCAAAGGCCTCAAGGGGCCTCCAAAGACCTCCAGGAGCCTCCAGGGACCTCCAGAGACATCCAAGGGACCTATAGGGGCCTTCAAAGACCTTCATGGAATTTCAGGGGACCTCCAGGAGCCTTCAAGAATCTTTAGGGGTCTTCATAGGCATCCAGGAACTTCCAGGGGCCTCTAGGGACCTCCAGGGGCCTCCAGGGACCTCAATGGGTCTCCAGAGACCTCCAGAGAATTTCAAGGGGCCTCAAGGGGCCTCAGAGGACCACCAGGGACCTCCATGGGCCTCCAGGGCCCTCCAGAGGCCTCAAGGGACATTCCGGTGGCTTCCAGGAGCCTCCAGAGACCTTCAAGGGCCTTATGGGACCTTCATGAGGCCTTTAGGGGCCTCCAGGGACCTTCAAAGGACATCTAAGGTCCTCCAGGGACCTCCAGAGGCCTCCAAGGACCTCAAAAGGCTTTTAGATGCCTTCAGGGACATCCTGGGTACCTCCAGAGACCTTCAGGGGCCTCAAGGAACCTCCAGGGACATCCAGGTGACCTCCAGGGAACTTCAGGAAGCCTCTAGAGGCCTCCTGGAACACTTAGGCGTCTCCAGGGGCCTCTAGGGACCTCCAGGGGCCTCCAGGGACCTCAAAGGACCTCTAAGGGGCCTCCAGGGTCCTGGGACCTCCATTGATATCCAGGGGACCTCCAGGGACCTGAAGCGACTTCAAGGCGCATCCAGTGGTCTCCAGAGACATCCATGGTTCTCCAAGGACATCCAAGGGGCCTCCATGGTTTTCTAGGGACATCCAGGGCGCCTCCAGGGACCTAAAGAGGTTTTCAGGGGACTCCAGGAAACTCCATGGGCCTCCAGGAACTTCCTGGGGCCTCAAGGGACCACCAGGCTTCCAGGGGCCCTTCAGGGACCTCCAAGAGCCTCCAGGGACTTCCAGAATTCATTTAGGGGCCTCCAGAAACCTCCAAAGGCCTCCAGACCCCACAAGGGGCCTCTATGGGGCTTCCAGGGACATCCTAGGGGCCTCCAAAGACATCCAGGGGCCTCCAGGGACCTCCATGGGCCTCCAGGGACCTCCATGGGCCTCCAGGGACCTCCATGGGCCTCCAGGGACCTCCGGAGGCCTTTAGGGACCTACAGAAGGCCTTTAGGGGCCTCAAGAGGCCTCCAGAGACCTCCAGAGACCTCACAGGGCCTCCGGAGACCTCACGGGACCTCTAGGGGGCCTCCAGGGACATCCTAGCGGCCTACAGAGACCTCCAGGAGCCTCCAGGGACCTCCAAGGACATCCAGGGGCCTCCAGAGACATTCAGGGGGCCTCCAGGGACCTCCAAAGGCCTTCAGGGACCTACAGATCCCTAAAGGGGCCTTTAGGGCGACTCCAGGGACATCCTAGGGGCCTTCAAAGACCTCCAGGGGCCTCATGGCGCCTCTAGAACCTTCCAGGGACCTCAATGAGCCTCTAGGGGGCCTCCAGGGACATCCTAGGGGCCTACAGAGACCTCCAAGGACATCCAGGGGACATCCAGAAGCCTAGAGCTACCAGGGTAGCTGTATAGAGGTGCCAGCTGCGCCAGGGTACAGTGGGTACTGCCCACTGCCCATGGGGGTTTGGGCAAAATATGACCCAACGCCGTTTTCAGTAATTGGCATATTTTCGGTATAAAAAGTCGTAATTTGAAACTGAAAATGGGTGCAGAGTCAAAATTCGGCTCGAAAATCACGATCAGGAGTCAAATTTTCGACATTTCAGATATTTTGAAAATTGCAGGGGGGTTTGGGTAAAATATGACCCTGTGCCGTTTTCAGTAATTGGAATATTTTCGGTATAAAAAGTCGTAATTTCAAACTGCAAATATGTGCAGATAGCCAGAATTTGTCTGCAAAATATGGCTCAGAAGTCAGATTTAGTATATTTGGAATATTCTGAAAACTGCAGGTGGAATTGAGTCGAATGTGACCCCTTCGACGTTTTCAGTAATTGGCATATTTTCGGTATAAAAAAGTCGTAATTTCAAACTCCAAATATTTGCAATGAGCCAGAATTCGGCTCAAAAAATATTCATTGGAACTTTAAACTTTCCATATTGTTCATAGGAACCTCATACTCTCCATGTTGCTTATATTATACTGAGACTCAGTACAGGATATACTCATATCCTGTTCATATTATACGCAGATATTGGCCATATTATACCTGGACCATGTTATACCCATACCCTGGACCATGTTATACCCATACCCTGGACCATGTTATACCCATACCCTGGACCATGTTATACCCAGACCCTGTACCATGTTATACTCAGACCCTGCACCATGTTATACCCAGACCCTGTACCATTTTATACTCAGACCCTGCACCATGTTATACCCAGACCCTGTACCATGTTATACTCAGACCCTGTACCATGTTATACTCAGACCCTGCACCATGTTATACTCAGACCCTGCACCATGTTATCCCCAGACCCTGTACCATGTTATACTCAGACCCTGCACCATGTTATACTCAGACCCTGCACCATGTTATACTCAGACCCTGCACCATGTTATACTCAGACCCTGCACCATGTTATCCCCAGACCCTGTACCATGTTATACTCAGACCCTGCACCATGTTATACTCAGACCCTGCACCATGTTATCCCCAGACCCTGTACCATGTTATACTCAGACCCTGCACCATGTTATACCCAGACCCTGTACCATGTTATACTCAGACCCTGCACCATGTTATACTCAGACCCTGCACCATGTTATACCCAGACCCTGCACCATGTTATACTCAGACCCTGCACCATGTTATACCCAGACCCTGTACCATGTTATACTCAGACCCTGCACCATGTTATACTCAGACCCTGCACCATGTTATACCCAGACCCTGCTCATACACTCTCCCACAAGGTTCCCATCCTCACCTGATACAAGGCCTTTCGACTTAACTGGTAACAAGATCCATTCACCTGGAATTTATGAAGATAATTTACCTGTGAGAGAGGGGTAAGGGGAGTGGTGAGAGAGAGAGAGAGAGAGAGAGAGAGAGAGAGAGAGAGAGAGAGAGAGAGAGAGAGAGAGAGAGAGAGAGAGAGAGAGAGAGGAAAGTAATTTTAGCATTTTATTATTTTAAGTTCACTGCGAAATTCTCGTCAACTGACCCTTCTACTAGAGCTCTAATGACTTCGCTGTAAAGTCATTAATGTTTAATGATAATGTTTAACGATCAAACGCCTTTAATCACTCAATGACTCGTAATGCCCTCTCGTCCCGTTTGTTGTTGTTGTTGCTAAAGTTTCGCTACCTGGAACAAATAGTTCCAAGTATCACGGGCTATGGTGAGCCCGTAGTCATCGTCGTTCCGTCCTCCCGCCTGCTCTTTATATATACCACTCTACCGAGGCCTGCTTTTCCCCATTATAAATCTTATGTAAATTATAAAAATATTAAAATCCCTTGTCTAGTTTTTTCCTTCCTCTCTCATAGTAATAATAGACACTATATTATGGTATGTGTTAGTGACGTATTTGGTGAAGTTTACCTTATCATATATATGGTTGTAGAGTTCAGTATCGTTTTCTGTTCTTTACATTTATTGCTGTTTACTCTCGTGCAAGTTTGCTTTGATTTTTCTTAATTTATAACCTGCTACATTCTCACCTTCTTTTGTTGGGTTATTTGTTAATCTTTTCTATATATAATTTACCCTCGTCTCTTGTGCTATTATGTTTTTTACCATGTTACTTTAAAATGTTAATATAACTAACGAATTAAAACAAACAAATGTAACTGAGGAAAATTTTGTTTAATTGCTTACTAATAAATTAATATTATTTATTTAATTTAAATAAATCGCACTCTTTCCCCCTGTTGCTTTACCACCCACAGTTTATTGAGTTCTCATCGACAGTAAAGTTACCCCTTTAGCGTTAATTTACGTTAGTCTATGCTATCATTTCCTACAAAATCCCATTTTCTGTATCTGAGCATCCCTCTCTCTCCGTCACAGGTCATACAGGATTGGAAATACGTGGCGATGGTACTCGATCGTCTGTTCCTGTGGGTGTTCACGATCGCCTGTGTCGTAGGAACTTGTGGGATCATCTTCCAGGCGCCCTCGCTCTACGATACCCGCGACGCTATCGACGAAATCTACTCCGAGATCGGGACAGCCACAGTCTTTGACTGAAGTCACACGCAATCGCCACACACGCGCGCGTGTGTGTGTGTGTTCTGGAGGAGTGTTGCGGCTCTTGCGTTCGTTATTCATCTTAAACAATGGTTGAGTGGCGCCTGAATGACCTTTAACGTGATGGATAGCTGGGGCTGTAATTGTGAAGCATAAATTTAATATTAAATTAATGTATATTCTGCCGGAACGGTTCTAAACATCATGTTTAGTAAGTGTGTGTGTATGTGTGTGTGTGCGTGTGTATGTGTGTGTGTGTGTATGCGCGTGTATCCGCGTGCGTTTGATGGTAATCTGCCAACCAGCATAAACCACTGGATCTGGGCCTCAGTTACTAAGCATTTTTATTTAAGGACAAAGAGCTTGAACACACGACAAAACACTTTCTTTGATCAAACATCCTGTGAGTGCTCCCTCGTGCTCCTGGGGTCGTGGCGGCAACGTTCCTGGGTCGTGGCGGCAACGTTCGGTAACGTTCCCAGATGTGAACATGTTATACAATACTTGTTAAGTTCTTCGTTGGTTGTTAATTTGTGCTCAAGAGGTGTTCAAGACTAGCCTGAAGAACCCCAAACTCCCACTTACACACTGAAGCGTTGTGACATCAGTATGTATACTCACAATCAGGATATCAGTATGTATACACAAAATCAGGATATCGGTATGTATACACACAATCAGGATATCAGTATGTACGCGCTCAATCAGGATATCAGTATGTATACACACAATCAGGATATCAGTATGTATACACACAATCAGGATATCAGTATGTATACACACAGTCAGGATATCAGTATGTATACAATTCAATCAGGACATCAGTATTACACTTAGGACATCAATGTGTATACACTCAGGACATCAGTATGTATACAATCAGGACCTCAGTATGTACAAACTTAGGATGTCAGTATGTATACACTGAGAACGTCAGCAGGTGACCTCTAATGATATCAGTAAGTGACGAATAAAGATATCAGTGATGTCAATATGTGACCAGTAAGCATGTCAGTAGATAACTACTAATGACGTCAATAGGCATCAGCTAATTACGTCAGAAAGTAAACAAAGTGTGGAGATGGTGCGCCTGCGCAGAGAAACTTTCCCCCGTTTTCCATGTTGTTATCCATAACTGTAAGTTTAAGGTAGGACTGTACTAGAAGTTTTATATGCCTATAATTGTACATACAAACAAAAACTTATCAAGAAGGAGAAATCGAGTTTCTCAAAACATGTGTGAAATATCAACTCCTTCTTCATGGAGAGCGAGAGTCAATGGTCCTCTTTTTCAAGCCATTATAGAGTCAGGTATTGTAAATATCTGCCAGGAGGTTGCAAACACCTGCCAGGAGGTTGTAAACACCTGCCAGGAGGTTGAAAACACCTGCCAGGAGGTTGAAAACACCTGCCAGGAGGTTGTAAACACCTGCCAGGAGGTTGTAAATATCTACCAGGAGGTTGTAAACACCTGCCAGGAGGTTGAAAACACCTGCCAGGAGGTTGAAAACACCTGCCAGGAGGTTGTAAATATCTGCCAGGAGGTTGAAAACACCTGCCAGGAGGTTGCAAACACCTGCCAGGAGGTTGTAAACACCTGCCAGGAGGTTGAAAACACCTGCCAGGAGGTTGTAAACACCTGCCAGGAGGTTGAAAACACCTGCCAGGAGGTTGCAAATTATGATCATTCAATATTTTATCATCTTCTCAGTTACAAAACTTCAGTGTTACAGAATCGATATATATATGGAATTTGTACCAAGTTTTTTACAGCTATTTGCCTGATAATCTTAGCTCATAGTTATCTTGGGAATCACACATCTATGTACACACACGGCTCCCCCCCCCATCCCATTAACCCCCCCCCCTACCTACATATTTTCCTTATGGTCAATGTATTGATGGCAGTTAGACGTCAATGAGGTGGTTCTGGTAGGCCTTCCTGATTGGAGGAAAGAGTGTTGGTCTCATATTATATATATATCACTAAGAACTCTTTGACCCGGCCAGGATTCGAACTCATGCCGTCCAGGATCACCCCTAAACGTACACAGTACCGTGACTACCGCACCAATGATCGTCTAGACGATAGACGAACATTGGTGCGGTGGTCACGGTACTGTGTATGTTTAAGGGTGATCCTGGACGGCATGAGTTCGAATCCTGGCCGGGTCAAAGAGTTCTTAGTGATTATATTATATATATATATATATAATATATATATATATATATATATATATATATATATATATATATATATATATATATATATATATATATATTTGATATTTTCACTCTTGAGTTGTGTTGAAATGTGTAAGTGGTCAGCAAGCTCTATTACAATATAAGTGACTAGTAGGCAACGGTATAAGGGGTCAGTTACCAACAGTACAGTATAAGGGGCCAGTCACCAACAGTACAGTATAAGTAACCAATTACTATATATATATATTAGTGTGTGACCACTATGACCATATTATGCGTTTAAAATAATCACCATTCAATATAAAGAAATTGCGCTACATACGGCAATCTTAGAAAAAAACTGATAAATAATAAATGTCCAAAAGATAAATCATAATCTGTGTCAATAATCGATCCCAAACCAAGAAATCTTCCTCTTAATCCTAATGTTGTGCTTCGGTTTTGGTCTCAAGATTAACGAAGGCAGGCATCACGCTTTGGGGCATATCTTGTACCCTCTCGATCTTTTGAACGACCCCAGATGCCCTCAGGGTGGCACTGGCAACTCCTAGGGTGGCACTGGCAACTCCCAGGGTGGCTTCGAAACCCCCAGTTTGGGACTGACACTCCCACGATGGTACAAAGTGTCCCCCCTGGTTCGTACTAAAACTCCCATGTTAAAACAGAAACCAAAAATGCACAGAATAAAAAGATTGAGGGGTATGATTGGACGGATTGTGGCTTTGTACTGATTGGGGGGCTATAGTCATTGTACTGATTGTGGCCTTGTATTGACTAGGGGGCTATAATGATTGTGGCGTTGTACTGACTTGACTCGGGGGAGGGCTATAATGATTGTACTGATTGTGGCTTTGTACTGACTGGGAGGCTATAATGATTGCACTGATTGTGGCCATTACATTTTACAATGATGATATGACTTATTGTTAAAAGGACTATCATTATTATACCCATACACAGTTACCATGAGTGTAACGATGATAACCACTAAACAATTATAATGACTTGTGATAAGGACCGTTAATGGTTACAATGATTACCATTAACAGTCATAATAACTATGATGAGAAACAAAAACAATGACAATAATATTTTTGAGGACTTTTTTCCTTGCTTTAAATTCTGTCTCGTTAATAAAAGCATATGTTTGAGTCTTTAAAATGAATTTTGAATTCTTCCCCCTTAGTATATATAATTGTGGCAGGACTCTCGAGTTATAACTCAAGGCTCTCATATGACTCTTGATGCTCAAGTTCATTCTCCAGAGTGGATAGTATAGATGGCGATTGTGTGGAGGCATAAGTGTAAAATATGTATGAACTATGGCACCAAAAAAAACTATATTCACGTTTTTATAATATTGGAACATCGAAAAGGAATTTAAAAAATGCAACATTGAAGTCAATAATCTAAGTTAACCTCTACTAGTTTTAATATCAGGCCTAATAGTGTTAGTTATCACTATATTTCTCACCTTCCAGCGCTGTGGCCTACGTCGTGGTGAATTTCAACATGTCTTCATATCCAAGGACGATAAATCTACCCCTAAATGTCTCAGGCAAATCTTCTAAACGCCGAGGAAATACGCAACTTACCGGGGTGAAACATTTCTTCTGGCGTTTATAGTCTCTGGTTATCTTGAGGTTATCTTGAGGTTATATCTGGGGACCGCGAGCCGAGCCCTTAACGTTTATATCCCAGGACAGAGCGGAACACTTGTGTACCTATGGACTACGAGCCCAGCACTGACTGTTCCCAAATTCAGCGGTGCCCTCGTTGTCTCGGTCGGCGGCTCTGATTGGCTATCATTTCCCGCCACCAGTGGCGCAGTTTGGGGCTAAACTACACAAACTGTCAACGGCCTCATTTCCCTTTTGCATCAACTTAACTCATTATACATTTAAATCACAATTTTAATCCTAACTTGATGCCAGGAATTAACACTTCCCGATAGCTTTCTGTAACAATATACGCAATTTTAGGCCTTGTGTAGTAAATATATGTACTATGTTAGGCCCCTAGAAAAAGTGAGGTCCTCTTTCAAATCAAAAGTACAAAATGTGCAATTTGTACATTACACAGTTATACAACAGGTACATTACAGGTATACAACATTACAGGTATACAACAGTTATGTTTTGCGATACATACACTGCACAGTTGCTATATGTTGTATACATACTATAGGATGAGTTGTAATGGTCTGATCCAGGGTTGTGATGCTCAGAAGAGTCTTATATAAGAAAACTTATAAGGTCTATAAAGTACTGATTGTGTACTGATTATATTTAATCAATAAGTCAGATCTGATTCGCAGTTTACTGATCTGGGGCCAGATTCATGAAGCAGTTACGCAAGTACTGTGTACATCTTTCCTCAATCTTTGACGCTTTTGGTTACATTTATTAAACAGTTTACAAGCATGAAAACTTGCCAATCAACTGTTGTTATTGTTATAAACAGAGTCCTGGTACTTCGGTGCTCATTAACTGTTTAATAATTGTAAATAAAGCCGCCAAAGATTGAAAAAAAATGTACAGGTACGTAAGTGCTAGCGTAACTGCTTCGTGAATCTGGTCCCAGGTTCGTAAGTGCTTGCGTAACTGGCTTCGCGAATCAAGCCCTTGAGATTCAAAGGTTCACATCTCACTTGCCACAGATTACAAATTTTTCTTTTTAATAAATGTTTAAATCTATATTGCAAGTGTATCGCGTTGTCGGACAATATTAACTTGTGTCCTATGACTGTAATGTTTCGGAAACGAAAATAATTATTGCAAGCTCGTCAGTTTCATCAGAAATATTTATGTTACTCAAGTTTTCACTCTGGCTTCTTGCACTCAGTTTCATAGAAAAGTCTTCGTGCAACAGAATATGACCCTTGCACTTCCTCTTTTTTTTTTTTTAAAGAGTAGTTTTAAATGATTGTAGTTTAGATTGCAGTAGTTTTAAACACACCATGGTTGTATTGATATTGAATATATATATATATATATATATATATATATATATATATATATATATATATATATATATATATATATATATATATATATATATATATATCAAAAATCAATTCTCCAAAATTCATTTTTATTTCTAGTCTGACGCGACACGAGCGCGTTTCGTAAAACTTATTACATTTTCAAAGACTTTAGTTCACAAATACACAACTGAATAGAACTTACGCATCTCCGATTTTATATCTACATTTGAGTGAGGTGGAAGGGGTGATGTGGCATTAACACAAGACAGAACAAAATGTGGTATTAATAGGGTATTAATTTCATCAACACAAGACAGAACAAGAGTATTAATAGGGTATTAATTTCATCAACACAAGACAGAACACGAAACAATGGATATTGAATAGAAGTGTTTGTAGAAAGCCTATTGGTCCATATTTCTTGATGCTTCTATATTGGAGCGGAGTCTTGAGGTGGGTAGAATATAGTTGTGCAATAATTGGCTGTTGATTGCTGGTGTTGACTTCTTGATGTGTAGTGCCTCGCAAACGTCAAGCCGCCTGCTATCGCTGTATCTATCGATGATTTCTGTGTTGTTTACTAGGATTTCTCTGGCGATGGTTTGGTTGTGGGAAGAGATTATATGTTCCTTAATGGAGCCCTGTTGCTTATGCATCGTTAAACGCCTAGAAAGAGATGTTGTTGTCTTGCCTATATACTGGGTTTTTTGGAGCTTACAGTCCCCAAGAGGGCATTTGAAGGCATAGACGACTTTCGTCTCTTTTAAAGCGTTCTGTTTTGTGTCTGGAGAGTTTCTCATGAGTAGGCTGGCCGTTTTTCTGGTTTTATAGTAAATCGTCAGTTGTATCCTCTGATTTTTGTCTGTAGGGATAACGTTTCTATTAACAATATCTTTCAGGACCCTTTCCTCCGTTTTATGAGCTGTGGAAAAGAAGTTCCTGTAAAATAGTCTAATAGGGGGTATAGGTGTTGTGTTAGTTGTCTCTTCAGAGGTTGCATGGCTTTTCACTTTCCTTCTTATGATGTCTTCGACGAAACCATTGGAGAAGCCGTTATTGACTAGGACCTGCCTTACCCTACAGAGTTCTTCGTCGACTTGCTTCCATTCTGAGCTGTGGCTGAGAGCACGGTCGACATATGCGTTAACAACACTCCTCTTGAAAAACCGGCCATATACTGCAGGTATGTTGACGACATTTTTACACAGGTACCTGATGTCAGACATCTGCAGGAGCTGAAGGAGGCGTTTGAGCAGAGTTCCGTGCTGCGTTTCACTTACGAGATGGAAAAGGATGGGAAGCTGCCCTTTCTAGATGTAACAGTCATGGAAAAGGGCGGAGGTTTCCACACTGCAGTCTACACTAAGGAAACAAACATAGGAATGTGCCTAAATGCCAACATCGACTGCCCAGACAGGTACAAGAGGAGTGTTGTTAACGCATATGTCGACCGTGCTCTCAGCCACAGCTCAGAATGGAAGCAAGTCGACGAAGAACTCTGTAGGGTAAGGCAGGTCCTAGTCAATAACGGCTTCTCCAATGGTTTCGTCGAAGACATCATAAGAAGGAAAGTGAAAAGCCATGCAACCTCTGAAGAGACAACTAACACAACACCTATACCCCCTATTAGACTATTTTACAGGAACTTCTTTTCCACAGCTCATAAAACGGAGGAAAGGGTCCTGAAAGATATTGTTAATAGAAACGTTATCCCTACAGACAAAAATCAGAGGATACAACTGACGATTTACTATAAAACCAGAAAAACGGCCAGCCTACTCATGAGAAACTCTCCAGACACAAAACAGAACGCTTTAAAAGAGACTAACG